ACACTTCTCCCAGGTAACTCCAAGTTCTGTCACGTTGACAATTGGCACTGACCATCACACATGCCTAGATGGTCATCTCCATTGTGTTTCCAGGTTGTCTCCAGTTGGCAGTATTAATCATCATAACTTATTCAAGGCTAAGCATGGTTGATAAGAGAAACCTGGTCTCCAGGTGGAACCTGGGTTCCAGGCAGGACACGAGTGAAGCAGCACACTGGGAGCATGCAGGGCAGGTTTCAGTGTGAGCTCCATGGATTGCACAGGGTAACACTACAACTCACAAGTCAGTGCGTGTCTTTCCTGTGCTCACAAACTTGATTTCAGCCAAAATAGCAAAGTCCTTACTGTCCAGTCCCATCATTTAGTCAGCCCTTCAGCTGCCAATGTCTAATACTCTCTTCCTTGGTCCTTTTCCTGGAGCCACAGAACTTCTAATGTGGAGCCATTTCCTCAGCGTGGAGCTCTTTTCTCCCAGGTGGCTTTAGGGTTCGTCCCTTCCTTCAGGCTGTCTTCGTCAGGCAGACCTGTCTTTTTGTTTCTCTGTCACAGTCCTTCCCCACTTTTGCTGCTTTCCAGTCCCCTTACTCTGCCTGTTACTGCACAGTGCCTACGAAGTGCAAATTTACGATATCTGTATGTTTATTTGTTGATAATTGCCTTTTATTTCACTATTGAATTGTGATTGGATATGGGAAATGCCACTGTAGATATGACACTTTAGTGTGCTAAGTATTTTAACCTCAAGGAGTTGAGAAAATAACCAAAGCAGGAAGATCGCTTTAGCCTTTGTCATCTCTTTTTTTCTCCTTTGAGGTCAGTAAAAGAATCTCCTGACCTATCTTACCAAAGGAGGCTACAATACCCTCCTATGGTAGGTACTCTGCCTTCTAACCAGAGCACAGGAATGCAGACACAAGGACAAAGGAAAATAGGAGCAAATAGACGGGGTTATTTTCCATTGCTATGATTAAATGACTGACATATACAACTTAAACGGAAAAAAAGTTTATCTTGGTTAATTGTTTCAGGGGAGTTTCCATCTTTAATGGTGGGGAAGAGACTGAGGACTTTATGGCAGTGAGGGTGTGTGGCAGACTCCTCACATGGCAGCAGACAAGAAGTAGAGACAACATGCTGGAAGTGGACGGGTGTAGACTTCAGATGCCCACCCCTCATCACCTAACTTCACCAGTCAGGCCCCACCTCTGAAAAACTCTGCAGCCTTAAAATTGTGCCAGTTTGAGACAAACACTCAAACCAGGAGCCTGGGGACAGCTCAGCAGAGTGCTTGCTCACAAGGATCAGGAGGTAGCTTTGGAGCCTATGTACAAAGCTAAGCATGGTGGCATACACCTGTGAAAATAACATCTTAGAAACAGAGACAGAGATGTCCTAGAGTTTCTGGCTGCCAGTCTAGCTAATTGGAAAGCTCTGGGTTCAGATGTATTGAGGAAAACACCAACATTGCATTGGGCTTCCACACATGCACGGGTACACCTACAAACATACCACACATTGTATTAGTTACAGTAAACATGGCCTTCCCCCTGGCTACAGCTGCTCTAGGCTGCTTTCCTCCATAGGCAGGCTTATATTCTGTTCTCCTGGTCTCTCCGTAACCAGTGTTTCTATCGAGTTTTACGCATCATCTTGTCATTGCCTTCCTACAGGGAGCCAGACACTTAACACATTTGATGACCTCACACGAATTTCTTAAGTCTTAATGGAAGCCTTCATGGCCCTGCAACTCTTGCTTTCTGCCTATGTGCAAAACCGTTAGCATATAGGCAATGGCAGCCTGTCTTACTGGTGTGAGCAGTAGCTGGCCCTCCTTACCCATGGCTGTAGCAGCCTCCAAGTACCTGTATGGCCAAAGAAAGAAAGATACCTCTTTTGAGTGTCTGCTTTCCAAAGGGCACCATAGCCCCCCTTTAGGTGTTCTCTCATGTGGGTTTTTCAGATGGGTTCCTACTGTGTGCCTTTGGTAGGAGGGGCCTTTCCCTGGGAGCATCTTTCCTATTTACCCTGTGACTAGTTCGTGACTTTTCTTTAATGGCACCAGTCTTTTAACAGCCTCAGTTGCTTTCTTCTCCCTTCCATTGTCTTCCTTGTGACTGTGTCTCTGCTTTTTTTCCTGGCCAACTTGTACATTTCTGAACAGCGTTACTGTTGGCTTTCTACCATTATCACTGTAAACAATAGCCAGCAATGAAGCATGCTGCATCCTAAAATTATGCTGTCTTGAAATTTCCTCTGCCAATAAATGAGTCCTTTGCTGTTGAATTTGCTCTCGTTCAGGTTTTCAGGACATGATAAGTTGTTTTCTGAAGTAACTTCCAGTCTGATTTCTGGTGGGGTCCTTGTTCTTATCTGAAGCCTCCTGAGTGAGTCTTCATTTCCTTTGACATTCTGATCTTCTGATATGGTCTAATGGCATTCTCAAACTTACAGTTCTCTCTAGGAGTGAGTTCCAAAGACTTAAAACATCACATGACCATGTTCATCACAACAACCAGCTTCCTGTGTTGCTTTTCCTATTGCTGTGACAAAATACTGGACAGAACAGCTTACTAGAGCAAAGTCTTACTTGAATTCATCCTTTTAGAGAATTTAGCCTACCCCAGAATGAATGTCAAAGTAGTGGGGCAGCCCTTAATGTCGGGCCAGCAGTGAGAGGCAGCTGTCCACATGTGGCAGGCAGGAAGAAGAAAAGGCCAGGCAGACTTACTTCTGCCAGCCAGGTTCTATCCCGAAAAGTCTCTACTGCCTACAAGGTAGCCCCATAAGACTGATTCCTCAAAACATGAGCTTCTGGGAGAGGACTTGTTTGGTTTTTTGAGAAAGAGTTTCTCTGTGTAACAGCACTAGCTATCCTGGAACTCACTCTGTAGATCAGGCTGGCCTTGAACTCACAGAGATTCACTGATCTCTGCCTCCTGAGTGCTGGGATTAAGGGTGTGTGCCACCACCACCAAATTGAGAGAGAACTTTTGCTTTTTTTTTTTTACTGTACCTAGTACATAGTTAAACTAAAATATTTACTAAACGAATGAAAATGGGAACACAAAGGGCACAAGACAAGGGAGAAATTTGGTGTGACCTATTATGATATTTGTGTTCTAGGCAAAGGGTAAAATTTAAATCATTAGTCAGTTTGTTGCCATTGAAAGATTTGAATAGGAAAGTGAGAGCAAAACCATGCACTGTAAAGATTGAACTGGTACTGAGGTGTTATATTAATCTTTAAAGAGTCAGCAAGAGCTGGAGAGATAGCTCTGATGATAAGTGCCTGGCACACACATGTTGAGGCAGAAGGTCAGGTCTGTGCTCATACCAAAAGCTGTATGTGGTGTGCACCTGTAACCCCAGTGCTGGGGAAGCAGAGGCAGGAGGGTCCCTGGGTTTCTGGCCAGCTACTTATGGTGATTGGAGTATTCCAGATTCGGTGAGAAGCCCCATCTCCAAAAATAGAGTAGAGAATGACCGAGGAGGGTACCCCAGCTTCCAGCACCTGCCATAGGCTTGGGTGTGTGTGCCCTTGGTGCCCATTCCCCTTTCCGGCCCAGAGTTCTACACCACTGCCAAATGTGCCTTTTGGGATAGTTCGACTCCCAAGGGACTGTTTAAATAGTGAAATGAGCTGCACTAATAATACCCTCCATTACTTCAGTTTCACATATAAGAAAATTAATTTGGTGTCATACTGCTAACTCAGGGACAGATCTCCTTCAAATATAAGCAGATTTTGTATATCCTTTTTCCCCCCATTTTAGGGGGTGGTGGTGGAGAATGATTTATGATAACAATAGGCTCAGTTTTGAATGAGTGCCCTTGTTAAGTATATACTAAACTAAAGTGAAGGAATAAACAGCAAGAGAGAGTCAAACATCATCAAAGCAGCAGAGTGCTCAGAGTATCCACCAGAGAGCAGAGGACTTTGTCTCCATGTCTGACCTGACTGTGGAACTTCCTGGTCATACCGTGGATGAGCACCAGTGGCGCCTGTTGCTGGAGTCCCAGTTGTTCCCCTCCTGTTGACTTGGAGAGGACAGCCTCTCCCCACACAAGGGACCTTGGCGGATACCTTGAGACCATTTGTGAACCTAAAGCAAGTGTGCAACCCCACTTCCTCAGCCTGCGTCTCAGTGCATCAAGCTGCATGTGGCAAGTCACTAATGCAATGTTCATCGCAGGTGCACAGCTGAAAATCTTTATCAGAAATGTTATCCAATGTTTCCACATCATTTAGTAGTTTACTTTTTGGGCAAAGCATTTAACACCATTTTTATGGCCTACTGTTTACATATGAATAATCAAATAGCCTGTTTTCTTTTTTCTGCTTCAGTGTTTCTGTGGGCAGGTAAAAGACATGTTTTCTTTTCTACACTAAAGATGCTTTTAAATTGTTTTTCACAAGTTTTAACATGTATCATTTATTAATTTTTAGTTATCTCATTTAAAGCTAACATATTACATTATTTCTTTCTATTGATAACTTGTTTTTACAGCAATCCATCATATTTTTGTTTTTATGATAACAAAATAATTCTGTAAGACTTGGTAGAGCATGAAAGTTTTTTTTCCCTTCGTCTTCCCAGGCAATCATTTATTAATAGTTTCAAAATTCGAAAGGGTGGTGGGTGGAAAGGAGATTATTACTTAATCCTTTAAAGTCCCCTAAATTTTTCTAACTTGTAAATATATTCTGCTAGTCTGATTATTCTGATAAAGTCCCCTCTGCTAGTTTTTTATGTGAGGCAAATGCAGCTTTAAGTGATTTTCTGGGTCATTTAAAATTGTGTTAAGTTTGAATTATATAGTTCAGCTACTGCACTGGGATGAAATGTTTACGCGCTCTGCATACTCCTGTTTGCTGCTGTTGCTGGCCCTAAGCCGCAGCTGTTGGTCTCCAGTGGACTGTGGGTTAGAAAGCTATCCTGTGCATGACAGCTGAATCAAGACCAAGGTCTGACTTAATGTACTTAGCACATTTCTTGCAGGTTCTGAGTTGTGTTCGTACAGAAGGGAATCCTCTGGAGATTCACTTTGGCGCCAAACAGCCTTACCAGGTGTGCACAGTGGAGTGCTCCGTCAGTGTGGACAAGGAGCCCATGGCTGACAGCTGTGTCTATGAATGTGTCCGGAACAAACTCCATTGCATGTCAGTTACCAGAATACCACTAAGATCGAAGGCCATCAGCTGTTGCAGGAACCCTACTGAAGACAAGCTGATTGTGGGCTGTGAAGACTCTTCAGTAATTCTCTACGAAGCTCACCGTGGAGTGACTCTCTTGGCTCAGGCTGGACTTCTGCCTTCATTAATAAGCTGCCACCCAAGTGGTGCCATTCTGCTAGTTGGCAGCAATCAAGGGGAACTGCAAATTTTTGACATTGCTCTATCCCCTGTTAGCATCCAGCTCTTGGCTGAAGATCGCTTACCCAGTGAGACTCTGCAATTCAATAAATTCTTTGATGTTTCAAGCAATCTTGTTCAAATGCAGTGGATAGCTCCTCCTGTTGTTTCCCAGAAGCCCGAAAGAGGAGAAATCTATGATCTCCTCTTCCTCAGGTTCAACAGAGGACCTGTGGGTGTGCTGTTGTTTAAACTTGGTAAGTCAAGTAGACCTATAAGTAACTTGTTTATGTTGGTGACATAACCAAGGCAGCAAACTATTTTTCAAATGGTAGGTTTTCTGTTTGTCATTCTGTAAGTATGTTTTCCTTTCAATGATTGTGTGTAGGTTCCTTGAAAACACTGGTGGGTAGTTTTCTACCTAGCAAAGGAATATTAAATATTAGAGACTTTAGAAATTGTGCTAATTGTACATAATGATAATTAAAAAGTATGGATTTTCTGAGCCATAAGAATAGCCCAAGAGTTAAAAGTGTTTACTGTTTTTTTTTGAAGGACCTGGGTTTAGTTCCAAGCACCCACAACACCTGTAACTCCAGTTTCAGGGGATCTAGTGCCATCTTCTGGCCTTCCCAAGCACTACACACACAGTACACATAAACACACACACACAGACACATATACCACACACACAATAAATATTTTTTTAATCTGAACTTTCAATTATAGTTTTTCTGAAATAATTTCCATAATAGCTAGATAAAAATTTAAAAGATTGACTGAATTCGTTGCAAGAACCTGCATTATTGAATATAACATTTTTCTATAGAAATTTTTAGATTAGCCATGTCTGTTGCTGTTCAGGTTGAAATTGTGTAGAGCAAATGTTTAAAAAGAAATTAAGTCAGATACTTAGTTAAAATTTACCAAAGATCTTGTGTAACTTTCTGGGTTTTTTTTGTTTGTTTGTTTGTTTGTTTCCTTTTGAATTGAGATATCTAAAGGGCTTTCTTAGTTTCTATAAATTATGAAGCAATATAGGTTTTAATATATATAGCTTTTTAAAAATAATATAGCTCCCTCGTTCCCCCCTCTCTTTTCTTTCCCTCTCCCTTCCTTCCTCCCTCCCTCTGTCCTTCCTTCCCTCCTTCCCTTTCCTTTCTCTTGTCCCCCTTTCAGTCACTCAGCTACCTGTCCGTAGAGCGCTGTCTGTCCATGCACACCTGACATTACTTTCACTCTCTTGTAGGCCTCCACAACAGCTTTGCAAAAAGCACAGTTTTGTCTTCCTGTCTCTAGCACATTTGCCTTCTTACTAAAGTAAACAGGCTCTCAGTGTAGGGATTTAGAGGGCTTCCTGCTAATTGCCAGCTTGTAAACTTAATTGGACTGTCTCCCTGGGCACTGTTCCTAAATCAATTAGGCAATGAGTTGGCTGTCACCTCTTTCCCAAGAAGGTCTCTTGGAATAAAATTATCCAATAGAAGTCAAGCGTTCAGATAGAAAGGTGATAACTTTTGCAACTGACATTTATCTTTTAAATTGTATTTTCATTTAAGTCTACAGGACAGGGAAATTGCAGCCTTCCAGTTTAGCTCTTTGAAAGAGCTAAATTTGGAATATCTAAGGATCTTTTAAAGTTTTGTCTCCCATTTATAATGTATTATGAAATTAATATTTATATCAATTTTTTCCTGGGAGGAGTAGATTACTTGAAATAGTAGATTCCAACCAGCATTTTTTTAAAAAAGAAAACCTAGTTTTAAAGAACAGATTTTTCTTATGATCTGCTACTAAATACATCCAAAAATTAATATACTTCTTGAATTAACACAGAGCTGATTCTGGGCATCCATGTGGCATTTTCATGTATAATTCAAGTTACTGCATATGTAAACAGGTAGTTGCATGTGCATCTCTCCCGAGAGAGAGCTTTATGAGACTCTTTGGACGTTTCTTGTGCAAGCCTTTAGAAAACTTGACATGAAAGGTGTAGCTTACAGTTTTAAATTGTAAAGACAAATCATAGATGATGGTTTAAAATAGAATGCTGTCACATGTAAACATGGCAGTGTCAGATGCCAGTATGCTAACATTTTTGGAGTTTCGCTGTCGAACAGGTCAGTTAGTATACTGCTGTAGGAACCTTCTTCAGCATAGATGCTCCATTATTCCTGTTGCACAGGAATGTTAGGTATGTAAAGGAGACTTCCAGGCGAGTATTCTCTTGGGGAAACAGAAGTGTCCTGCTCCCAGCACTGCATTCTACACACAGTAAGTGTGCTGTTCAGAAAGCCTTATGGCATTGTGCTCATCCCACGTCTCCATGTGTCTAGGCTGGGGTCAGTTTTCAGAGGGGCCCTGGTCATTGTACTGAGACTGTAAGGTTTGTCCAGCCCTCTCTGTTCTTTGATTTAATACCGTCATCTCTTCTCTTAACACAGGCTCTCTCCTGGTAATTAGCACTTCATTGAGACTACCTGCTTCCCCCAACCCCATTCGACTAATTATGTGTGTGTCATGAAGGACCATGCTGCTAGTGCTAGCCCTCAGCTGGTCTTGCCCCCACTGTCACTGTGATGCCTTTACTTTGCTACCCTTCCTACATGCTGTGAATCTTAGTACGGAAGTCCATAAACAGGCCCAGGCCACCTCCTAAGAAGCAAGTCTTCATTGACAGTGCTTTCCTTTTGCTTCTGAACAAGTGTCCCGCCTTCTTCCATCGCCAGGGTCACTAATGTGACAGTGAACATTGACTTTCCTGACATCCCTGCTTCTCACTGCTTCCTCAGCACCATAACTGGGATTTATGTCTGCAGCACTTTTTGGAACTACTCATGAAAAGGTCTCTGGTGATTTCCTTTGTGATAAATGTATTTCCTTTGTTGATGTTGGCTGACTACATCCATGATCAAATAACATTTTTTATGACTCTGAAAACAGCTTTTTGTTACTTGTCTTCTGCCTACTCATGAAATGGAGTTCTTCAGGAGTATGCTTTTAGTTCTTATCTCATGTTGTTCAGGTGGAAAGTTTCTTTGTAATTCATCTGTGCACTATGGTTTGAATTTCATCTTTGAAAGTGATGTTTAGTTGCCACTGTAACAGTGTAAGGAGGTAGAGTTTTCAAGAACTGATTAGGTCACAAGGACCCTGCTCTCATAAATGCACTAATGCAGTTACTAAGGGGTGTGTTTGCTGTATATGCAGTCTCCACTTGTCATTCTACCAAGCTAAATGAACCCGCACTGTTTACAGTCAGTTATCACAGCAGAAAGTGAACTCAGCCACTATCCTATCTCTGACTCTATCCATGATTGCTCCTGATTCCACATCTACACTTTCCCTGATTTTCTGGGAAGGTATACAATGATCATCATTTCACCCACACCCACTTTTCTTCTTATGTTCTCCGTTTTAGTAGATGTTATAATTATTTAGATGGAACCTCCAAATCAAAAACTTCTTGTCCTTGAGAGTCTTCTTTCACACCTGGTGATAGGGAGCAAATTCAGTCAATTCTGCCCTGTAAGCACTAGCAGAAACAGTGTTCCATCAAGCCTCCCCATCGTATTCTCATCACATAGAGGCCTTCCATCTGTACTCCTCTGCTTTCCATTCATTACCCCAATTAGCTCCCAAAATACTTAAGAGGGTTCATCATAACAAAACAGTTTGGGTCATGGATTATCCACCTTGTAATACTCAGTAGTGGATTAATGCTGTCTGCTTCTTAGGCTTTGACTCTCCAGCCACACTATACCAGTGTAGCTTCCAAACCGAGGCCTATGGTCTCTGACTCATTTTCTATGGTGGTGGTAATGATGGTCTCTCTACATGAATACCCTACAGTGCCCAATATCCTAAATTAAAGTTAATGTGTTTTCTCACGTTGAGTTTTAGAAATTCCAGGTTCTGTGTGTTTGTATCTGTGTCTGTGTGCCTCTCTAAAAAGCAAGAAGTATGTGTGTTTTTTTTAGAAACTTAGTCTTTTCAGAAACATTTTTTAATAATTGAGTTTAATAATTTAATAGCTGAGTAAGTTATCTTAATATTATAATTGATGTTAGTTAATTGCTTTATAAATGTATCAAATACAAATAGTATGTTTTTTCTATATACTACGTAGAATATTCAAAGGATAGGGGAGGAAAGACATAAAGCAGGGTTACAAGTGGAAAGGAAGGTGTCAGAAAGTGGGGTGAGAGGGCCATGGGGAGGAAGAGAGTTGCATGTTTTCTTTTATATAACTGACTTGAAAAAAGTGGGGGTGAGAGAGGGCATCAGCAAGGCTGGACCAGGTAAGGGAGGGCAATGGGGCTGCAAAGATAAATGTAGCCCAGTGATACACATGTAAGGAAATGTAATAAGGAAATGCATTAATTCTGAAAAGGAGAGAAAAGAAGGGTAGGTATTATATTGGATGTCTCATCAGCTTTAATGGCTTTTGTCATCTGCAAGTTCATTTGAAATGAACTTTTATTCTACACATCTACTTCCTTCACTTTAGAAATGTGATGGGATTATTATCAATTTTATTGAAGTATAATCTGCATAGATAAAATATGTCCACTTAAAATGCTTGTCAGTGAGTTTAATATATACATTCCCATGAAGCTGCCACAAACAAGATAGGGAACATTTCCATCGCTCCAAAACATTCTCCTAAAGTCCTTTGTAGTCAGCCCACCTTCATCAAAGCTGATAAGCACTGCTTTGATTCCTCTTGCTGCCGATTAGATTTGCTTTTTATAGAATTGCATAGAAATGTGACCATAGAGTAAATACTCTTGTATCTAGATGTTTTCACAGTCAGTATTAACCTGTAAGAATCTTCCATATTGGTGTTTACCTATAAGTCTTCATGGTACCTTATAGTCATCCATTACATAGCTACACCATGATACTTCATGGTTCTTCACATGTTGGTGGACATTTGGCTTATGTCAAGGGTTAAGCAAAAGCACTAAAAGGGATCTGTACTTTTATGAACGCATCCTTATAGGGATACATGTTCATTGCTGTTGGGAAAACCGCAAAGGTGGTTTCCTAAAGTGCTTGTGCAGGTTAGTGAGTTGATAGCAACATGAGCAGCGGCTGTTTCACGTCTTCACTCTGGACTTGACATTAACATAGTGCACATATAGTATTGCTAATGTCATTTCCCAGATAACTTTCAGAGTTGAGCATCTTATGATTAGTGCCATATATTTTCTTTATTATTGTTTTCTTTTTCTTTATATTTTATTTTTCTAAATTTAACAACCACTTCTAGTGGACTTTGAGGATTTGTTTTAAGTGTGTGTGTGTGTGTGAGAGAGAGAGAGAGAGAGAGAGAGAGAGAGAGAGAGAGAGAGAGAGAGAGAGTATGTGGGTGTAGGACACAGAGTCCAGAAGAGGGTATTTGATCTCCTGGAGCTGGAGTTTCAGGTCATTGTGAACTGTGTGTTGTAGATACTGGAAACTGAAGTCATGGCCTCTGCAAGAACAGTCAGTATGAGCTCTTAACCACTGAAACATCTCTCCTGTTCCTCCGGGCTAAATCTCAAATGATAAATCTAACATTGGTGACTTTTTTCAATATTTGGAGATTTCCTAGGTATCTCTCTCTTTTTATATCTAATTCCTTTGATGTTAGAGAATCTAATCATATGATTTCAAATCTTTGAAATATACTGTTGGATGTTTTATTGCTCTGAACATGGTTTAGCTTGGATCATGTTCCATGTGTCCTCAAAAAGAATATATGTTCCACTATTGTAGGGTAAAATGTCTTAGGGTTAGGGTTGTAGCTTATTTGGAGCAGGCATGGTTATGCATACTTGTAATCCCAGAACAGGGGAGGCAGAAAGTCAAGACCAACTTCTGCCATACAGACTGCCATACAGGCTGCAGTCAGTCTGTACTATATATGACCTGTATTTAGAGAGAGAAAGGAGAGGAGAGGGAGGGAGGAAAAGAGGGAGGGAAGGAGGGAAGAAAGAAGGAAAGAAAGAAGGAAAGAAGGAGGGACGAGAGAGGAGGGAGGAGAGAGGTGAAGGAAGGAAGGAAGGGAGGGAGGGAGGGAAGGCGGGAGGGAGGGAGGGAAGGGAATTTTTCGCTGATAGCATTTTTCTAGTATAATCTGTGCTTATGTCATTTCATGAGATACAAACATGGAAGCTATACTGGAATCCAGCTGTCTACTTAGGTCCTTCCACTCTTTTCAGTTCTGTCCATTCTTGTTGCATTATTCAAACTCTATTATTAGATATATTTAAAGACTTTTCTATTTCTTCATGAATTTTGAATCCTCTAGGAGTTTAGAATTCTAGGTTATTTTTATTTTTATGTTAAGCCCTTTAAAAATGTCTTCCTGTTGTTTTCTAGTTTGCATAATTTCAGATGCAAAGCCTATTATCATTCATTTCTTGCTTCTTTGTATGTCCTGTGTCTCCTCCACCACATTAAAACGTTGTCTGTCTTTTGAACTCTTTGACTGTGATCGTCCATATCATTTGTTCAGAGCAGCTCCCTTCCTTCCTATTACTAGTAGAATTGATACTTCTGATAGAGGTTGGGGGAAAGAGACTGTTTTCAGTTCCTGCAAAGTTGTTGCTCATCGACGTCTACTGCCAGGAGCTGCCTAATTTATGACTAGGACTTGGAGTGCTTGACACAGGCAGGCTCTTGAGGCTTTGCGTAGTTACATCTGCTCATTATACAACCCCAAAGTAATAGTAAAGTTTTACTGTTTAGGATACTCAGGGCAATTCCCCGGACTCCCTATCAAGTTGAGTCTTGTTAAATACAGCACAAGTAAGTTTGGTTTTTTCTTTTTATGTAACTTGGAGTTAGAATGAAGACTTTCAGCATCTTTCTCATGAACTAATATATTTTGAGAATCATGAAACCTATAAATATTCCAGTTAAATTCTGATGATAGTAATAAAAAGAATTATGGTAATGTTTTATACTATTTTATGACTTATAAAATAATTTCACAGACATTTTCTCATTTGGTTTTATGATTATTTGTACTGAGTTTTTATAGACTTACCTCAATCAATAAAACACTGAAGAAAAAAATTGCAGTTAGCATTTAATTTTTTCCTTTGGTGTGTATGGATATTTGCATGTGTGTGTGTATGGTTACATGTGTGTGTATATGGTTACGTGTATGTATGGTTACATGTGTGTGTATGGTTACATGAGTGTGTATGGATATTTACATGTGTGTGGATGGTTACGTGTGTGTGTGTGTGTGTGTGGTTACAAGTGTGTATGCATGTGGACTCTTACTTGCTTTTCATCCTTCTGGTCTCTCTGAACTTGAATCTCTCCCATTCCACTGGTCTGGCCAGCACGCTCCCAGGATGCCCTGGTTTCATTTCCTCAGCACTGGTATCACAGGCGTGCACTGCTGTGCCTCATTGTTTGCGTTGGCTTCTGGAGACTTGAACACACCAAGCAGTTCATCAGCTAAGACATCTTCCCAGTCCCATTTGTAAAAGATGAAGAACAAGACAAAACAAACAAGCAAAGCAGAATAGTGCTTAAAAGCCACAGTGTTTGCCATTTTACATGTAACAATGTCAGTTTCAAATGCCATTGGCTTTTTCGAAATAAAACTAGATGACTGCCTGACCTTTTTTTTTTTTTTTAATGCTCCTCTGTCAAAATTGGAAGTGGGTGTATTTCTTTTTGAAAGGGCAAACTGATGTGCCTCTGATTTTCCAGTATGTTTTGCCTTTGTGTAAAAAATGTGTTTTTATTACTTTACTCTGTATCTTAAAAATTCACACTTGTTTTTATGACAGGTGTCCTCACTCGAGGACAACTGGGTCTGGTGGAACTCATCTCCCAGTACATCCATTGTGATGAGGTGAATGAGGCCATAAACACCCTGAGCAGCATGAACTGGGACACCCAGGGTCAGCAGTGCTTCCTCAGCATGAGCACCATCACGAACCATCTCTTGAGACAAAGGCTCACTCCAGAGAGAGAAGGTCAGACCTGAGCATATTGCATCAGAGGTTTTGAGTGTGCATTGAAATCCATTTTGAGTCTTGTAATGTCAAAACAAAAAGGAGATGTAGAGATAAAGGGAGCATGTTCGTTAAGCTATAAATAAAGACCTGTGTCATGGAGACAGATTCATAAAATGGCAATCTGGGAAACGGGGCTTCTCTTTTCCAATCCCAAGATGCTGCAGTTCTCTGTAGTCACCACAGAGCTTTATATGCAGACTTATTTTGTGATACAATCCCACAAATAACCCAGGCTGTCATATACAAACAGCATGGGTGTACACCACCACACCCAACTGATGTTCAGTAAGGTTTACTGGATGCAGCAGATCACAGGAGATAGGAAGAAGTTTAGAGTCAACCATTACTGGGCAACTGACTGGTTATATGAGCTGAGAGATCAGCCAATAGAGTCTGGGTGCCTGCATGTTTCAGCTGCTCTGTCCATCCTCTGCACATGTGCTTTGGGTGGACATCCTCCTTCTCCTGCTTGGATTTCCTCAACTTTTCTTAGTACTTAGCCCATAGAAATCCATGACGTTTATTGTTGAGGTAGAAAACACTGAGGAAATAAATGACACATGAGATATGAAAACAGATTTTTTTATCTCCTAATTCCCTAGCATGTATTTATTTATGAGTTGTTATTCCCTTGTATGATATAAAATATACCAAAGTAGTTGGGGTTTATACATTTATTTCATATTTTTGTATTACTAATATTAATATTTGGAAATTATAACTAAACAGTATTACTAAATAATGCAGAGTAAGAAAATTAGGGCAGTTCTATTACTGGAGAACATTTTCTTTCTCAGTATTTTCAGTGTGTTTTAATAGACTTTCCTCGTTTTTATTACATTTCAAAAATAAATAATAATTTTTCCAATAAAATTCTGTAGTTGGCTAGTAACCTCATGAATATCTAGGAACTTTATATTATGGACCTTGACCTAACTCCCAGAATTCCCTAAAAATATCTGTATAAGAATCAACTGAAGTTTTTGGAAGTAGTCCAAACTCATATATGGAAATGTCAGTGTTTGTATATGAAGAAAATGCCTACCACAGTAAGTGACCCACTGTTGGTATTCAAGAAATGTAGGTTAAAAAATAAAAAGTATACCCAAAGATTTTAGGAGATAAAGAGTTACTATAATTTTGCTTACGTATAGAGTTATCTCAGGTAATTATTTTCTAATATCAATACACTTCTCAAGATTGAGTATGTATTTAAAAGTAACACAAAAACAAAAGAGCAGAGTCTCCCAAGTCTGTAGTTATATACATGCTCTGTGTAATAAGTCCCAAGTTTACAGCTAAAGAAGAAATATGGAATGATAAAATATTGAGCTTCACTCAAGACACTGAGAAGTTGCTAACACCTTAGTGTATCTGTGTTATTAAATTGCTGGGTTGTAAGAAAGATTATAAAGAAGTATACAGATGGGCATTATCAGATTCCTGTCCTAATAAAGGACTTTTTTGCACAGAATTGTATTGGAGAGATAGAGAAATAAAAAGCTTTTATGATACTGGGCTAATAAAACAAAATCTATACATATCCTGATTTATCTGAGTATGTATATGCTAAGTAGATATGAGCATTTCCTCTCAAGTAACTACAAAACACATTTCTAAAACATTCAGAATTCCCTGTTGAGATTTATTTTATCTAAATCTAACAAATTTGACATGGTAATTCGTTGTCCTTTCATTAGTGAAACCTAGTGTGCTGTTATTTCTAGTCGTGTTGTGTCTGTCTTTGAGATCTTCATTCTGCCTTAAGCATCAAGCTGGGCAGCCTAATGAATCTGTAGCTGTGCTGGGAGTTACACGTATTCCATGTAGGCTTGAACATTTCAGATGTATGGAACATGCTGTCAGGAAAACAAGCAATGGCAAGAGAGCCTGGCTTGTTTTCACAGTAACAGTGCTATGTTCAATTTTAATCTAAATTGACTGCTGCTTTGAAAGAAAATACCTCCAAAATGCATCCTATTTTGCTGTCTAGATTTGAGCCCGAAAACAATAGAGACATTGCTGAAGCTTAGTCAAGCTATAGCAATTACTCTGACAGGGTATTTACTACTTGGAAATCTAAATAGGCTACAACTAAAAGAGTTTTGCTAAATAATGAGTTGTTTATTTAATCCAGAGTTGGAAGCATAAATATCAGAGGAATCTAACTGTGAACTGTAGTAAACTCATACATACTCATGTTCTCTCCATAAGGTAATTACTTCCAGGTATTTCTGGACAGATCTTGGTAAAAATGTGAAGTAGACAGGCCCCTCCTTATCCCATAATCTCTTATCTCGAGCCTCCCCCATTTATGAAAAGCATCTTTCCAGTCTTCTCCTGTCCCAGGGTGTTTGCTTTCATGAAAGGACAAACACAGAACCTTGTGTATGGCAGGGTTAGGCACTAGATACAGATTTTTATTGTTCTCCTAAAATTGCATCACTGACATACCTTACTCTAGTATGCCAGTTTCCATTTGTATTATTTAAGTTTAAAAATTACATGTGTGTGTGTACATGCATTAGCCATATAGTGTATATATGGAGGTCAAAGAACTTGTGGGAGTCATTTCTTTACCATATGGGTCCTGGGGATTGAACTCAGGTCATCAGGCTTGGCAGCAAATGTCTACCTGCTGAGCTGTCTTACTGGCCCCTTATTGGTAGTTTTTTTTTTTAAATATAGATCTTATTTAAATTAGAAGCACTCTTATTTTACATATCAATCCCAGTTCCCACTCCCTCCCATTCTCCCATGCTCCCCACCAAACCCCCCCATCCCATCCCCCATCCACTCCCAAGGGAGGGTGAGGCCTTCCATGAGGGACCATTAAAAGCTGTCAAGTTGGCCAGGCGGTGGTGGCGCATGCCTTTAATCCCAGCACTCGGGAGGCAGAGGCAGGCGGATCTCTGTGAGTTTGAGGCCGGGCTGGACCGACAGCCTCCAAAACAATACAGAGAAACCCTGTCTCGTAAAAACCAAAAAAAAAAAAAAAAAAGCTGTCAAGTCATCTGGGGCAAGGCCTAGGCCCTCCCCTGTGTATCTAGGCTAAGAGAGTATCTTTCCATGGAAAATGGGCTCCCGAAGTCCATTCATGCACTAAGGATGCATCATGGTACCACTGCCAGAGGCTCCATAGACTGCCCAGTGCTCTTAGCTGACATTTCTACTGTGCTAATTTCATTTCCCTGTTCAAAAAGTTAGCTTTCTCCTTTCCACTAAGGATAACTCATATTGTTGGGCACACTACACATTAATTTTACTGGAAATACTAGTTCAAACCCTGTTACTTTGATGAGTCACTGTTTTAATTACCGATTTGTGGTGAGAGGTCGGTTCATTATGGATTTCTTCAGTTCTGACATCTTTTTGTTACTCAACGTCATTGTCAGCTTTGTCTCAAATGGCAGTCTATACACAGGTTTGTTTTTGTACCAACTGTCATGTTTTAATTTCATCTTTCCTGCAACAAGCTCACATTTCATCCAAGTTTGCAGAACCTGACTGACTGCAAACATGAATATTGTGTTGTAACTGAAAGAGTTTCTCTTATTTTAATGCTCCTATGTTTGAATTCCATAGCACAGCTTGAGGCAAGCCTTGGAACCTTCTATGCTCCAACAAGACCACTTCTGGACACCACTGTTTTGGAATACAGAGACCAGATCAGCAAGTATGCCAGGAGGTTTTTCCACCACTTGCTCAGGTGAGTGATCCCGTCGGCTGCCTGCGTGTGTGTCAGACAACATATTTAAAGAACTATCTTTCTTGAGATTCCTCCAGAATATGGCCATTTTCTCACAGCTTTTCTCTTTAAAAGAAAAGCAGATTTTATTAGTCTTTATTTAATTTGTTATTATTTTCCTTTTCAGGAAATACTGAATATTAATCTAGGCCCTTTACATTATCAGTAATACATCTACCGTTTAATAGGATAGTAAACACTATATAGAAAAGTCAACATGAACATGTTCATTGAATTTTGTTCCTAGCCTAAACAAACCCTTTGCTTTAAACTGAAGGTAGCACTGTGCGCTATGAGGCAGCTATTGGCTTGCTTTCCTTTAAAATTACACCGAAAGACTTGTCCATTGTCCTTGCATATGAGTCGCTAACTTCCCTGTAGTCACTTTTCTTCTTTATATACATGTAAATGTTCTTTCAACTGTAGGGATTATTTGACAGTTTGATAAAAATGTCAAATATTGCTCCAAGAAAGATATTCTAGAAGTTGGAGGACAAACATATATTCACAGAGAAGGATAGAAGAAAAATGAAAATCTAGACAGAAAGATTACAGACTCATAAATGCTGTGATAACTAGTAAATAGCATGAAAGATAATTAACATGAAAGTTATATTCTGGACTGAAACAGGTAATGGGTGTTCAAATATATCACTCATGTTCCATTTCTTAGTATGAATGGTATATACCAAAGTCTGTTAAGATTCTCTCTCTTTCAATTATATATATTCTGTGTAGATGTTTTATAGTAGAATTTTGTATTCTATTTACAAAAAGGAAGAATTGTATGAAGTTGATTTTACTAATAATGTACTTGCTATCGTGCTGGGCAGTACTTTCAAAGACTTTGATAATAACCTTTTATTTTTACCAGAACAACTTTATACGGGAGTGCTATCGTGTCCTGAAGTATTACCTCAGGCTTAGAAGATCAGCTTACTTAGAAAAATAGCAGTTGGCCACAGGTCTAGAGCTGCTCTCCCTGCTCTTTACTCATTCTTGAAGATATTTGCTGTCACTAGTGGTGTAGCCTTCCAGAGTAACTGTGAGTTGTTGTCTGTGCAAGAGTAGGCTGAGTGACAGGTGTTCAAATGTCCCAAATTCCGGGGAACTCAAATTGGTTAAGCTTGAGGAGGTATATTGTTATCCAGACATTTGTGCTCCATAATTAATTTTATCTATATACAAAGTGGTACTTTGAACTCTACACAGCAGTGAGGCCTTTAGAAAATCATATTTTTGGAAGCTAAGAAATGTTAATATATTGCAAGAGTTATTATCTGTAATTGAATCTTGCCTTTTTATCTGAATGGTGTTAGCGTATTTCAAGAGGCTCTTCATCTTAAATGTAGCAGTCTTCATACATGAGCATATCCTAAAAGTATTGGGGTTAAAGTCACATGTACTTGATCTTAGGGCTTTGCTCTTTGCTTTCATTGCTGTTTTGTTTTTCTTGTTTCTAGGGGAGATTGATGAATTAACTTCTTGCCTAAGGGGCTCAAAATGGTAAATATGAATAAGAATTTTTGAAAGTGTGTATGTGGCAGCCTCACTGTGGTTTTGGCCTCTTTGACTTTAAAGCAATTGTTGTATTTTTGCAACCTCTGCCCCAGGAAGCTCATCTTCTGTGAATGTGAACATTTTTTCCTTTATGTTGTTTTAAACTGGGTGTTCTGTGATAGGGTGACTCTTGTTGTTGTCATCAGTATCATATTCAAACTTTTCTGTTTGGTTCTGTGTGATGTTTCTCTTGGGGAATTGATGGGGGAAGTCCTTCTGTATATATGTTTGTCTTATTGGTTGATGAATAAAGCACTGTTGGCCAATACGGAAGCAAGATAGATGGGACTAGGAGAGATGGAGGATTCTGGGAAACAGAGGCACAATCAGTCATGGGAGAGGAGTAAGGGGTCGGACCCTTTCTCCGGTAAGAGAAGACCATGTGAAAATACTCAGATTAACAGTTATGGATTAATAATTAAGTCAGAGCTAGACAACAAGAAACCATAGAAAACGGCCAACAACTTCATAATTAATATAACATCCTATGTGTTCATTTGGGACTGATGGGAAGAATCTTGTTACAGGGAATGCTAACTTTTTCGTGTTTCTGCTTTTGGATACTTTCAGTTCCAATGAAATTCACTAGTTTCTTTTTCAGTAATAGGGTATACAGGGCTTTAAGAAAAGAGAAATGTATGTTAGTAGAAACTGAATGAGATAGCCTAAGTTGGAAATATCCTTTTGTTTATTCTGCTGCTGAGAAGTTTTATCTAGGGGAAATGAAACAGGTCAAATGCCTTCAAAAGCAATGGGACGTGCTAAGATTGCACGAGTCTCTCTGTTTTGTCATTGCTTTAATACCCCCCCCCAAAGCCTTATTAAAGTGGAGGCAGAGGAAAGGAGCCCCAGGGAGACTAGGAAAGTAGCTGAAGTTACTGTGCGGGACTCAGGTGGGACTCCTGGTGACAGTGAGACACTGCATTTTCCTTACTTTGGTCCAGCAGACAAAGGCTCGGGTCACAGCCTGACTTTGCACTAATACACACGTGTATGTATACAAATTAGGTTTCATTCTTGTTAGAGAGGAATTCTCCAGACATCTTTCTGTGTCTCTTAGCTTCGCTCCAAGTTCAAACATACATAAACTGCAAGACTTATTTCTTATATCTTCCTGAGAACTCTGTTTATGTTCAGAGTTGCTGAGTTTCCAAAAGAAATGTTCCCGAATAGTATAGATCATTCAATAAAGTGTTTATTTTAATAAAACTAAAGAAATAATCTATTTATAAAAATTGTTATGCTGCTGGGCACCTACAAAAAATAAAAGCAGCTTTGCCTGAAATATGCTTAGAGAGTTGTGACTCTTTCCACCTCTATGAGATTGAATAGTCTTCAGAGCACTTAGCAGGAACCATTACCAAGTAAGAGCTTTTCATCATAAACAAACAGAAACTGTGATAGGAACAAGTAAATATGATTAAATGAAAATGCAAACATTTCACATTAATGTGTCCCATAGCAAGCTTATTTCATCAGCATGGAACTAGAATAATGCATAGAGTTAATGGTTTATTTTAATTAATTTTCTCTCCAAATCTAAAGCTACTGTTTTCTGATACAGCGATGTTAATATGATTGTGACATTAAGGCAGGTGGGTTTGAAATACCTATAAAATAGTAAGCTATTTGAAGAAGGGGACTTCATTGCCTAAAAGTAAAAATATAATATTATGTTTTATAGAGGAATACAAGACTATGCATGTTTTTCTTTACAATTCCACACAAAATTAAAACAATAGAAATAAATAAGTGGCTAGATATATGATAACAGTTATAAATGGTGTTAGAACATAGATGGTTCATGTATAAACTGTCAACTTTGCTATATATTTAGAAATTTTTGTAATACAATGTGAGTAGTATATATTGTGTTGAAGTTTATATTCATACTAATAATTCAGAAAGAACGGAAAGCAAACTATGGATTGAAACCTAAAATTTTGAGCCCCCCCAAAAAAATTCTTATTTTTTTTTCTCTTTGATATTTATCCCAGCAACAAAAAAACAAAACATCTTTTTAAATTTAAATTAGAAATAAGCTTGTTTTACATGTTAATCTCAATTCCCTCTCCCCCCACCGGTCCCCTATCCCATACCCTTTCTGCTCCCCAAGGAGGGCGAGGTCCTCCATGGGGGATCTTCAACGTCTGTCATATCATTTGGAGCAGGGCCTAGACCCTCTCCCATGTGTCTAGGCTGAGAGAGTATCCCTCTGTGTGGAATGGGCTACCAAAATTCATTCACGTCCTAGGGATAAATACTGATCTACTACCAGAGGCCCCATAGATTAACCAGACCTCCAAAAATCACATCCTTGTTCAGGGGGTCTGGACCAGCCCTATGCTAGTTTCCCAGCTATCAGTCTGAGTTCCATGAGCTCCCCCTTGTTCAGGTCAGCTGTTTTTGTCGGTTTCTCCAGCCTGGTCTTGACCCCTTTGCTCATCACTCCTCCCTCTTTGCAACTGGATTCCAGGAGTTCAGCTCAGTGTTTAGCTGTAGGTGTCTGCTTCTGCTTCCCTCAGATGGATGAAGGCTCTAGGACAACATATAAGGAAGTCATCAATCTCATTATCTGAGAAGGGCATTTAAAGGTAGCCTCTCTACTATTTCTTAGATTGATAGCTGAGGTCAACCTAGATCTCTGGACATTTCCCTAGTGCCAGATTTCTCTTTAAACCTGTAATGGCTCCCTTTATTATGGTATCTCTTTTCTTGCTCTCCTCTATTCTTCCCCCGACTTGATCTTCCTGCTCCCTCATGTTCTCCTCTCCCCTCCTCTTCTCTCCTTCTCTTTCTCCTAACTCCCTCTCCCCTCCCCCCATGCTCCCAATTTTCTCAGGAGATCTTGTCCCTTTCCCCTTCTCCAGGGGATCATGTATGTCGCTCTTAGGGTCCTCCTTGTTTCCTAGCTTCTCAGGAAGTGTGGATTGTAGCCTGGTAATCCTTTGCTCTATGTCTAAAATCCATATATGAGTGAGTACATACCGTGTTTGTCTTTTTGTGACTGGGTTACCCCACTCAGGATGGTTTCTTCTAGTTCCATCCATTTGCCTTTGAATTTCAAGATTCCATTTTTTTCCTGCTGTTTAGTACTCCTTTGTGTAAATGTACCACATTTTCTCCATCCATTCTTCAGTTGAGGGGCATCTAGATTGCTTCCAGGTTCTGGCTATTACAAATAGTGCTGCTGTGAACATGGTTGAACAGATGTCCTTATTGTATGAATGTGCGTCTTTTCATCCCAGGGTTGCAGGGATGGTGCAACATATGAAAAATCCATCAATATAATCCACCATTATTAATAAACTGAAGAAGAAAAACCACATGATCATCTCACTAGATGCTGAAAAAGCCTCTGATAAAATCCAACACCCTTCATGATGAAGGTCTTGGAGAGA